GAGAGAGAGAGAGAGAGAGAGAGAGAGAGAGAGTTGTGTGTCTATAGCTTTTTTTTTTTTTTTCTTTTTTTTAAGGGAATGGAGGATGGTTTAGCCCACTTTTCCTTGGTTATGTAGGAACTACAATGTTCTTTGCGAGCAAGACAAGAAGTGCAAGGTCTGCATTTCCACCAACTCGATGCAAAGCCCCAAGAGCTTCCTGCAAAGTGAAGCCGGCACGGAGAATCCGGTCAATGTCTGCAGCAGGAAAAATCAGTGGTGGAAGAATGGAGGGACTTGGTGATGGGTGGCTGGTGGGCGGTTCAAAGTCAACAAGTGGCCCTGCAGCTTCAGGACAGACATCCTGTCGTGTCTCAGGCCTGTCTGTCACCGGATTCTGTGCGCCCTGGTCCAGATCTTCAACCAACGTGAAACTGGACCAGGACTTCGTTTGCTCAGAAGTGGGACTGACACCATCCTCCTCACCTGCTGAAAGTTTGGGTGAGATTTCTACACCTAAGGTGCAGTGTACTTGATCAGACGTTTTTGCTGAGGCTAGAGCGTCAGAACTGCTCTTGTTCTCGGATTCCCTAGACTCGGGGACACTTTCCTTATCAGTTACTAGGCCATCACCTGGATCCCTGACATTAATATTTTCTACATCTTCTACTCCAGCACCATTTGAAGTGTCTGTTAACTTTTCTGCCCTCACCGATACAGTTATGGTCTGATGAAAGGAGACTTGTGAACGCTCTTCGTTCTGGGTAACTAGAACATGCTCACTTTGGGTCCATCTTTCAGAAAGGTCCTTCACACCTGTTTGGCCCTCAGTTACCATTTCCGATTGACAGATAACTTCTTCAGATGTATTTTCTGAAGCTGGTTTACTACTAATGACCAAAAGTTCATGGAGTTCCTTCAAGGCTGCTGTTAGAGATGAGCAGGATTCCTCTGCTGACTCCACAGAAGGCTGACAACTGCCACAGAGACTTAAAGACAGGGAGCAATCCCCATCTTCTTTATTTGTTCCAGACATTTCAACGTTATCGTCTGGGAGTTGTAAATCCTGAGTGCAAATTGAATTACTCAAAATTTCGGATGAAGGATTACATTTTGAGGTTTCTACTTCCATCAGGGGATTATCTAAGGTGAGATCGGGTGCACCGATGTTCTTGACATTGGCATTCTGACCATCCGCTGAGTTAGGCACAGCCACTAGGGACTCTTCAACTGTATCCACTTCCATGAGTGTTTCTGAATGGGGGCAGCCAAAGCATCCTGAAGGTAGAATATTTTCCTCTGTACCTGGAAGGTCCACATTCTGCTGTAGCCTGTCTTCTTTCATTGTAGCTTCTAAATCAACACTTCTTTGTGGATTCTGTTGCCTTTCTCCAAGAAGTTCAAAGTCCCCTGTGTTACAGAGATGTCCCTGTTCTTGGTCATGTAGAGCATTCTGTTGTACAACCTCATGCTGTTCATTCCCTGGTTCTTTGTGCTGCTGAAGGCCATTCCCTTGACTCGGGTTCTGACTTTCTGGATGCCAACCCTTTTCACCTAGAAACCCCGGTGGTTCTTGCACACTAGTAGTCGTGACAGATAAACTAGCTTGCTGTCTTGTGTGGAGAGGAGATCTGAGGCCCTGGGTGCTTCTTTCAGCAGATTTCGCCATATTCTCTGCAACAATGGCTTCTTCGGATGAATTCTGCAGAGGCATGGCTGGAGCGCTGTCTGTTGAAGAAGCACAATCAGAAAGATCCTGTGGAGGAAGATGTTCTTTCTTTTCAGAGGTTATCTGGAATTCAGCGGAAGCCTTCAAAGCCTTTAGAGCTTTAGGTTCAATGCTGTCAGGGTCACTGGGCTCGACAGGGCAGCCTGAAGCAGAGACAGAGTGAGCAAGACTCATAGGATTACCAATCTCAGGACTCTGTCCTGAAGGATGGGCTGGATGGTTAAATCCATCTGAAGTTGGTAAGGATGACATTCCCAGTGAGGTAGTTTCTTTACCACTTTTCTCTACATGGAACAAAAGGGAAAGGAAAAGAGATTAATTAGCAGGTTACAAAGGCCAATCACTTCTCAGATGATACAAATCTCAACAGGACAGAACAAAATCAGGTCCTTAAACTTGGGTTTGTCTTAAACTGATACTTATACGAGAACCATTCTCACTGGGGTAGACAATTCAACATCACAGCATCAGAATAAGAGATAGGCACGTTCTTAACAAAACATGTACACTGTAATTCAGTATTTTTCTTTAAGTACCATTAATAAACATCCACATAATGGCTGCGTTAGTGCTCAAGACTGAAGGACATTCATGTATCTTTATTCTCCGTGGGTCCGACCCTCTTAGAAGAGTTTCTCCCAGTGTGTTCTATCACTTGCCCTGAAATCCTGTTTGCTAAGCATGCACACTCTGGGGCACCATCGCTGGGAGTAAACCCATGGGTCTGCACTTTCAAAAAGCTCCTCAGGTGGTTCTGAAGCATGTTACAGATTTTGAGGATCTCTGCACTAGAGTGATTCTCACATCAATGCACTTTTAGCATTTCAAACGACAAGACTAAAACCAGTTATATCTGGAACAGAGTGGGAATTATAAAGAGAAAGGAGAATATGCTTGGGATTCTCTAGGAGACAGAGAAACAAATATTCTATTTAATTCATTTCTATCCAAACTCCCATAATCCAAATCATGAGATAGCTGTCTGAGCAAGGACTCAAAGCACAAAAATAAAGGTAAAGAGCAAACACATTAGATCCAATCATCACCTTGCCAAATACGGCAACCTTAGAAAGGTTTATCAGTTACTTTATCACAAAAACATAGTACAACTAAGTGAGGACACCGAAGTCTTTTAGGGCAGGGAAAGGGGGTAGGGTCCTGGCAGCAAAGGTGGATGGTTCATAATAGTTTTCTGACAGGCAATGACCATTTAGACTCAATACAACTGACTGGGCACTCAAGGGTGGCAGGCTCAAACACCACCTCACGAAGCCATTAAACGTCAATTCCAACTCTCCTTTTGCCACCGATACGAACACTGACCTCTATTCAGTGACTAGAGTGACTAGAAGATTGTTAATTAAATGCCAACGGGTGGCAGCAAAGACTACTTCACGATACAATCTCTCAGGGCAGATGCTTCTCTGACTCAAATGCTTCGTGTTGACTGCCATCCATTGTGGGGGGCTTAATCTTAAGTCAGGAAGCAATCCAGATTCAAATGGCTCTAAATCATTCTAATCCAACACCGGTTAACAGCACGATGAGATAAAGCACTGACTCTGTTGGGAAGTTACTGACTTCTGGTGAAACAATATAGTTTAGAGGTCAACAGGAAAACAGCATTTGCTTCAGTGTAAATTATATCCATTAGTGTCTAGAAACACAGTTATTAGTTTTATTTATCAATCTCTAAGGCCGACTCTGAAAGAGGTTCAGTTGTGAGTTAATGAGAACAGAAAAGGTGCATCACAGTGAAATATCCAAGTTAAGTAGCACGGGGCATGTGATGATGGCCTTCGGGCACTGGCACGCCAGTTACAATCACTGTGTCAGGTCAAGGAGAACGTGGCCCCAGTGTGTGTTTTGTGCTAAGAAAGCAGCACACAGTCCTCCCAGGGCTGAGGCTTCACTGGCCTAGGTGCTGACCGTAGGGGACAGGCTCAGTACTACAGGAGAGGAGAAGAGGATGAGAACAAGGGACATTAAGAATAATTAAACTGTGCCTACTTTTACCCCATCTTTCTAAGGAAAAAGAAAAAAACGAAGAAATTAAGTGCCAGGTATCTAATCACAACCAGCCTGCAACCCCGTATGAAGCCCGAGGCTGGGAGTTGCCTTTTTTCCTCTTGACAAATCAGCCAGTAAACTCAGGCTGCCGTCTCCCAAATTTACACTCCAGGGAGACGGGAACAGAGTGTCTCCCGGGGAGACTCTGCGAGGCTAGGGAGAGAAGAGTCAAGTCTTAACTCCCGTTTGAACCTGTGCCCCCAGACAAGTTTACCTGGCCGAAGCCTCGATTTCGTCTTCAGCGGAATGAAAATTTCTTTCGGGTAGAAGTGCCCTTCTACCACTCTAGGCAGTTGTGTGCAGGGATATGAGAAAGGAACTTCCAGTTTTCCAGAAGAAACAGGCTCATGAGACCCCTAACGGTGTAGTTACCTTCAACAACAACATGCTGTGGGGCTGATATTCTTGATTTGCTCTATTCACAATGGCCAGATGGAGCTGGCTTTTACTGGGATCTCCCTCCCCTCCTTGGACTGTTCCACAACAGTTGATGAAACTATAAATAGGAAACTATACTTCGATGTGTACGCGTGCCAACATACGGATGTATATACAGGCTGGTTGTAACCAGATCAGACGAGGTGACCTGGATGGCAGAAGCTAAGTTCCAAAACTGCGGCGGACACAGAGACTTTCAGAGCACAGACGATGACCGGATGGAAGGCTGAACGTGGCGTCTATAAATACCTGGTCTGGGGCCCACTCCAGCTGCAGCACACACACACTACATGCATCATGGCTTCTGACGCTCTGTTTGAATTAGGAAACAGACAAGCAAACTTGGGTTAACAACGCAAACCACACAGCATGCAGGGTTATTGTCTCCATTCCTCTGCCGTCTTTATAATCAGGAGCTGGTAGAGTCACAGTTGGGGAATGCTCCTGTAGTCTGGTTGGTTTAATTCTCTCACAATACACAGAACAACGTGTCAACTTCAACAGATCTTCAATAGAACTTGGAAAGGAATTCATCTCACACACCCACACACATGGAACTCATGGGCAGACGTGTGAGACAGGTGGAAACAGCAGACCCATGGATGGGATTACAAGCTACGGCAATCTTCAAGGTGAGCGAACACTTGTGACAGTCACTTTCCCAATTTCTTTCTCAGTTGACATTTATTTTTGGGAGAAAAACAAATGAAACTGGATCGTCCTGGCTTAACTTCTCTTCTAGTCAGTGTTTAGAAAATGTATCAGATATAGCTCCTATCCTGACTTATTTTTCTGCTGATAGAAAAGATAAAAGATACTATGGTATAAGGTATCCAACAAAGGAACAGTTTTTGGCAAAAATACTTTTACCTACTAGGTCCAGAGTTTTGATTTTGAAGATACTGGGAAGTCAGCGTTCCAAACAAGACAGACCTGATGTCGAATTCATTCACTATTTAAATATTGGAAAAATTAGCACAAGCCATGTATCGTCACTAAAAAAAATATCATCCTCTGGGCAAAAAACCCACTTCCTTTTAATCCTTTTCTGAAAACTATTTTTATTTTTTTACCTTATTTTTTTATGTTTTTAAAGTAACCTCTACGCCCAACGAAGGGCTAGACTCTCGACCCCGAGATTAGGAGCTGCATGCTCTGCGAACTAAGCCACCCAGGAGCCCCTCCTTGTAATCGTTTGAATTGCCACATTCTGTTCACTATGCCTGAAAACACCTGTGGTTTCTATTTTCATCTCCTTAACTTTTTATTACAAGAAGGTAATTACCCGAAGAGGGTAACTGTTAGTAGGTTAGAAAGCATTGCTATCATCAGCCAGTGCTTCTCAAATAAAAACACCACACTGTAGGGGGAAAATAGACATTTCACAAGATGGTAATACATCCTCATTTTATTAATACCCAGAATAACGACTCAACTGACAAGTTACTAAAAACAGGTAAAACCTTCTAAGTGGGTATGTCAAACTCAGTCAAGCTTGCCTTGCAGGGAAGCTTAAAACTATTAATTCCATGGCTGTTCAGAATATTCCCCTTCCTACAACCAAGGCTGTATTTTGTACGTAAAACTCAAAGGTGCCAAAAGGTGTCAAGGAGCAGACTATGAACACAGCCAGCTTGGAAAAGTCCATCCGCTACCCACGCCCATTTTAATTTTAAGAGGCTCAGGGCGGGGCGCCTGGGTGGCGCAGTCGGTTAAGCGTCCGACTTCAGCCAGGTCACGATCTCGCGGTCCGGGAGTTCGAGCCCCGCGTCAGTCTCTGGGCTGATGGCTCAGAGCCTGGAGCCTGCTTCCGATTCTGTGTGTCTCTCTCTCTCTGCCCCTCCCCCATTCATGCTCTGTCTCTCTCTGTCCCAAAAATAAATAAACGTTGAAAAAAAAAATGACATCTTTAAAAAAAAAAAAAAAAAAGAGGCTCAGGGCTACACCTTGGGTGCTCTCCATAAAAACGCTGGCACAATCTGGCTGCCTTTTTCTTTTTTTTAATAAGCTCCTATCTTTTATGTCTTTAGGAGAAAGCTATTCCCTGAACTTGTAGCTCTAATACATTTTACTGTATCAGAAAACACAACATGTGGTATTAGTCACTGATGAATATAGCTCAAGACTTGAAAATAACCCCAACTTAAAAGTTAATTCTCTTCAGTTTCTAGAAAATGCATCCCACAGTCACGGTTTTAGAACAGATGGGGAAAATGATCACATGGAGGTAGGATTTCATCGAGAACGTGTCCTTCCATCTTACCCAAGAAAACTTGGCTGGGTCTTTAGACTTAAACCAAGACGACTGAGACTCACAAAGAAGTGAATGAGGAATCCCCATGTCAGGGGTTTGCAGACGGTTCTAATTTGGCCCAAGAACACACTATGCAATCTCATTAATAGCATAAACCCTGTATTCTGATTAGTGTTCAATTATGCTCCTTATTGTTGGTTCCTCTGTCTCTGGTAGCAGCGCTTTCAGTAGATATAAATTAAAAAGGTTAGGACTGCTTAGTCAGGACGACAATGCTATCCTTCAAAGGAAGCGGGCCTAAGAAAAGGAAAATAAATGTTCAGGGAAACTGCAGAACTAAAAGGAAATGTCTGCTTACTGCAAGAATTTGTGTTAGGAAAAAGGAAACAAGATTTTTTAGGAAGCCTACCAAAATGTGCTTAAGCAAATAACTGCCCAAGGTACCTAGCACACAGCAATGGATCTGCTGAAACACCGAGTTTTTCTTTACCGTATTGAGAGAGGACAAGGAACACATCCGTGACAGCACGATGACATGGATTAAGAACTGAAAAGGTCCCCAAACCCTCTCAAGCTCCAACCTCCCCGGCTCACTGACAACAATGAGCAAGTTATCCCAGAGCATGGCCACTGCAAATACCTGCATCCTCTACGGATTTCTGAAGAGCTTCTGCTAATTCTTGGTCTGCAATCTCTTCTGGCCGCACATCCTCTCGCCCCGCCCCATACGCCAATCGGGCACACTCTGGTAACTCTCCCTCGGGCAGAAAGGTGGTCTGTGAGCCTGTCGTGCCGATCACGAGCACATTTTTCTTGAGGTCGATGGAACACTTAGAAGGAAGAAACCAAAGACGGATGATAGCGGATAAAACACCATGCAGAAAAGTTATCCTGAATTTAAATATTTAAGTTTTATTTAAGTATTTTTTTAATGTTCGTTTATTTTTTAGAGAGAAAGAGAGTGAGCGAGTGAGCAGCAGAGGGGCAGAGAGAGACAGAGAGAGACAGACAGAATCCGAAACAGGCTCCAGGTTCTGAGCTGTCGGCACAGAGCCTGATGCAAGACTCAAACTCACAAACCAGGAGATCATGACCTGAGCTGAAGTCGGGTCAGAAGCTCAAAAGACTGAGCCACACAGGTACCCCTAATATTTAAGTATTTTTTAAAACATTTAAAGTTTATAGCAGAATAAAAAAAAAAAGCTTATAGGAGAATCATCTTTATATGATGTAGTTTTATACATATTTGTCCAACCCAACCTCTGTTCATTTCTGAATTTAAATGTAATACACATCCACTGGACAAAATTGGGAAAAATGCCAAGCATAATCAGCAGCCCCACTTTTTAGAAATACAGAGATGATTTTTTCTTAAAAAAATGAGACATACCATTTATACACTCACATTACTATTTACATTGTGCTTACTGCACAAAGTACCAATCATCTCAAAAGTGGTATATGGGCAAGGCAATCTTTATTTTTTTTCTTCTTATTTTTTTTAATACAGAGAGACGGAGACACCAACTCGGAAAAAAGCTCCAGGCTCTGAGCTGTCAGCACAGAACACACGAACTGTGAGATCACGACCTGAGCTGAAGTTGGATGCTTAACCAATGGAGCCACGCAGGCACCGCAAGGCAATCTTTATTTCGTACTTATAACTACCCTCCTTTTCTGTGTATTTTTCTAATTATTTAACATAGGACAGTACACACGTACATGTTTTCTATCTGTAAAACTGAAGACTACTGGTCGATATCATGACTAAAAAATGGGGAGAGAGTGACAAGTTAATAAATTAGGTTTTATTAATACATGCATTCACTCACCCCTTCTACTTAAAATTCTGCACCTTGATTAGAATATTAATGCAATATATGTTTTATAGGATTTCGGTATTAGAACGAGTATTAATGACATAGGGGTACCTGGGTGGCTCAGTCCGTTAAACGTCCGATTCTTGATTTCAGTTCAGGTCATGATCTCATGGTTCATGAGATGAAGCCCTGAGTTCTGCTCTGCACTGACAGTGTGGCGCCTACTTAGGATTCTTTCTCCCTCTCTGCCCTTTCCCGCTCCTGCTCTCTTTCTCTCTCTCTCAAAATAAATAAACATTAAAAAAAAAAAAAAACCAGTATTAGTGACATAAAAATATTGTCTAGATACGGGGGCGCCTGGGTGGCTCAGTCGGTTGGGCGCCCGACTTCGGCTCAGGTCATGATCTCATGGTCCGTGTGTTCAAGGCCCGCGTCGGGCTCTGTGCTGACAGCTCAGAGCCTGGAGCCTGCTTCAGAATCTGTGTTTCCTTCTCTCTCTGTCCCTCCCCCACTCATGCTCTGTCTCTATCAAAAAATGAATAAATGTTAAAAAAAAATTTTTTTTTTTAAATATTGCCTAGATACAAAACCTTGCTGGGAAAATTTTATCACCCAGTGGACACTAATTGCTTCTTCAATCAGAAGAGTTTATCTTTAAACAAATTACTAGATTTCAGAGTGGAAATACAAATATTGTAAATGAACATAGTTACAACTCATTCTCCCCATACTAAACAAACATTTCCACTGCCCGCATCTTATCTACACCTTCTTCTTTAAGCACTGACAAGCTGTGAAGGATTTACTAAACTTATACTAGCAGTAAAATCATCATGTGTTTTCTAGATCCCGCTACAAACCCATCAAAACTTACCTGAGTTCTAATCAGAAACTAAAAGTAACACAAGAGAACCAAGTTGCCCATTATACTCTCAAACAGATGGCGGGATTTAACAGATTCAGAGAGATTTCACAAGAAGAGATTCTATTTCTACTGATAAATCGTTTCAAACCATGTATGATGACATCCTTAATTAGGGACCTTTCCAAGTCTCAAAAGCCATGTTTTCTCAGTTTTCTAGTATATATAACCAAGAGAAATGATGCAATCATACCCATGTAACATACAAAATGTCAGTGCAGAAAGATAGTGAAGCACTTAATTACCTGATGCCGTTTCAGCATGTCCAGTCCCAGAAGCATGTCCATAGGCTGTTCCTCAAGGATAGAGAAAGAGCACGCCAGGAAATCTCCTTCAATTTGAACCTGAGCTAAAGCATATTAAGAGAAGGGATTGCGGATTTTTGCTTCAAAAGCCTCATGCAATCTTTGGAAAGATTACATTCTGTGCCTTGCTTCTTGCAATCAGTCAAAGCCAAGGCAAAGCATGAAACAAGTGAGTTAAGTATGAAAATCCAGTGAACCCGGGGCGCCTGGGTGGCGCAGTCGGTTAAGCGTCCAACTTCAGCCAGGTCACGATCTCGCGGTCCGGGAGTTCGAGCCCCGCGTCAGGCTCTGGGCTGATGGCTCAGAGCCTGGAGCCTGTTTACGATTCTGTGTCTCCCTCTCTCTCTGCCCCTCCCCCGTTCATGCTCTGTCTCTCTCTGTCCCAAAAATAAATAAGCGTTGAAAAAAAAATTTTTTTTTTAAATAAATAAACAAAAAAAAGAAAATCCAGTGAACCCAATGACCAGTTTAAAAGTCCATGAAGGGGGCACCTGGGTGGCTCAGTCGGTTGAGTGTCCGGCGTCAGCTCAGGTCACAATATCCTAGTTCATGGGTTCGAGCCCCGCATCGGGCTCTGTGCTGACAGCTTAGAACCTGGAGCCTGTTTCACATTCTGTGTCTCCCTCTCGCTCTCTCTGCCTCTCCCCCACTTGTGCTCTGTCTCTGTCTCTCAAAAATAAGTGAATAAATGTAAGAAAAATAAAAAATAAATACAGCAGAATAAAACAAACACCTATGCATTTATTTCCCCGGTTAGGAAACACAAAACTCAGAGGTTCCTTATGTTCTACTGCTCATAGCTTCGTGTCTTCTCCAACCCTCCCGACTATCCTGGCTTTTGTATCAATCATTCTTAGCTTTTTAAATGATTCTTACGAGTCTTGTATGATTTTCTTTTTAATTTTTCTTTAACATTTATTCATTTTTGAGAGTGAGAGAGACAGAGCATCAGTGGGGGAAGGGCAGAGAGAGAGGGAGACACAGAATCCGAAGCAGGCTTCAGGCTCTGAGCTGTCAGCACAGAGCCCAACATGGGGCTTGAACTCATGGACTGCGAGATTGTGACCTGAGCTGAAGTTGGACCTTAACCAACTGTGTCACCCAGGTGCCCCGAGTCTTGTATGATTTTTAAAAAAATCTTCTTAATGTTTATTTTTGAGAGAGAGACAGAGCATCAGTGGGGGAAGGGCAGAGAGAGAGGGAGACACAGAATCCGAAGCAGGCTTCAGGCTCAGAGCTGTGAGCACAGTGCCCGACACGGGGCTCGAACTCATGGACTGTGAGATCATGACCTCAGCTGAAATCGGACGCTTAACCAGCTGAATCACCCAGGCGCCCCGAGTCTTGTACGATTTAAAAAAAAATTTTTTTTAATGTTTATTTTTGAGAGAGAGACAGAGCATGAGCGGGGGAAGGGCAGAGAGAGCCGGAGACACAGAATCCAAAGCAGGCTCCAGGCTCCGAGCTGTCAGCACAGAGCCCTATGTGGGGCTTGAACTCATGAACTACGAGATCATGACCTGAGCCAAAGTAAGACACTTAACGACAGAGCCACAGGTGTCCCCAGTCTTGTATGATTTCTAAGTGACATACTATTTAGTTTTGTGTTTTTGAATTACCACTCACTAATCTTTTACTCAAGTATTTTGAGGGGTGCCTGGGTAACTTAGTCGGTTAAGCATCCGACATCGGCTCAGGTCATGATCTCGTGGTTCCTGAGTTCGAGCCCCACATCAAGCTCTGTGCTGACAGCTCAGAACCAGGAGCCTGCTTCAGATTCTGGGTCTCCCTCTCTCTCTCTGCCCCTTCCCCCCCACCTCAAAAATAAACATTAAAAAAAGTTAATTAAAAAAATAAAAAATAGAAGTATTTTGAGATCGATCCCTGCACATGTAACTGTTTCTTTCATTTTTAATTATCCTTTAGGGCACCTGGGTGGATAAGCTGGTTAAGCGTCTGACTCTGGACTTTGGCTCAGGTTATCATCTCGCCGTTCATGAGTTTGAGCCCCCCATCGGGGTTCTGTGGTAACTGGGGTGGGCCTGCTTGGGATTCTCTGTCTTTCTCTCTCAAAAACAAACTTAGGGGTGCCTGGGTGGCTCAGTCGGTTAACCATCTGACTCTTGGTTTCTACTCAGGTCATGATCTCACAGTTCATGGATTTGAGCCCCGAATCAGGCTCCACTCTCTCCCTCTCCCCCTCCCCTGCTTATGCTCTCTCTCTCAAAATAGATAAATAACTTAAAAAAAAAAAATCCCTAGTGTACTGTAATGTCTAATATACCACAATTGATTTATTCTACTGCTCTGGGACTTTCTGGGTCACTTCCAATTTCTGTGGTCATAAGCAATGCTGCCCTGAGTATTCTCCTGGTGTGTATTCAGTTTCTCTAATGGTATATATACCACAGAAAACAGAATTACAGGGTTCTAGGGAATATTAGGTTCAACTTTGCTGGGGGATGTTGAATTATTTTCCAAAATGTTTCTAGCAGTGTATCAGAGTTCCTACTGCTCCACATTCTCACCAACAGTTAGTATTATTAGATTGAAAATCTTACTAAATTTCCCTGACTAATAATGAGTAACTTTTCATGTATTTCTTAACCATTTGGGTTTCCTATTCAATAGTGCCTGTTCTATTGCTTCTGTAATTTTTTAACATTTATTCATTTTTTTGAGAGACAGACACAGGGTGAGTAGGGGAGGGACAGAGAGAGGAGACACAGAATCTGAAGCAGGCTCCAGGCTCTGAGCTGTTAGCACAGAGCCCAATGTGGGGCTTGAACTCATGGAGCATGAGATCATGACCTGAGCTGCAGTCGGACGCTTAACTGACTGAGCTATCCGGTGCCCCCCATTGCTGTAATTTTTAAAAAATGTCTATTTATTTTTGAGAGAGAGAGAGAGAGAGAGAGAGAGAGCGCGCGCACAAGCAAGGGAGGGGCAGAGAGAGAGAGAGAGGAGGAGGGAGAGACACATAATCTGAAGCAGGCTCCAGGATCTGAGCTGTCAGCCCAGTGCCCGAGGCGGGGCTCAAATCCACAAACTTTGAGATCATGACTCAAGCTGAAGTTGGACCCTCAACCAACTGAGCCACCTAGGTGCCCCTGTAATTTTTTTTTTATAATTTTTTTAATGTTTATTTTTGAGAGAGAGAGAGAGAGAGAGAGAGAGAGAGAGAGAGAGAGAGAGAG